GACAGAGGAAAGTTCAGGAAACACGTCTCTTTTCTTTCGTTTTTTCTTTTTTAAGAATCATGTGTTTGGGCACCACCAGGTAGCATAGTGGTTAAGGTGCTGGACTCCCACATGACTGACCACAGTTCAAGTCCTGGACCCGGTGGCTTACTTTCTCACTTTCTCTCTCTCTCTGTCTCTGGTAAAAATTTTAAAAATAATAATAACAAATAAAATGCTCTATAGAAAATTTTTTAAATAATAAATAAAAATTGTAAAAAAATGTGTTTAATTTATTATTATCTTTTACTTTGCTATAGTGTACATGCACTCACCTGAGAGAGAAAGAGAGAGAGGGAACGTGAGAAAGCAAGCTGCCAGGTCTAGGGCTCGAACCACAGGTGAAAACGCATTTCTGATAGGAAACGACCATGGTTAGCACCTACCACAACGTGGGCCAGTGTCGCCGTGTGTAAGGGCATGGCCTGACGGAGTCCTGCCGCAGCTCTGTGGGATGGGCGCGCTCACGCTTCGGCAGCTGAAGCGTGGAGGACGCACCTGACCCAGTCACTAAGCTGGTGAGTGGCCAGATCAGGCCCTAAGCCTGAAGCCGCGTGCTGGTCTGGTTGGCTCCTCCCGGTGTGTTGGCACGAAGGCCGTGTGTGACTGGATTAATGAAGCGCTTTCCTTCTCTTTTCTCTTGTAATTGCTGTAAACGACCCCATCTTGGCTGGCAGCTGGGGAGGTGCAGTTACGTTCACAGGCAGGATCCACAGTCAAAAGCATCCTGGGTCGCTCATCTCTAAACTCAGAACCGGCCAGGTTTCCCTCTAGTCCTGCTGAGTCTCCGTTCTCGTCTTCCTCTAGCTGAGTCCACTTTCTCCCCCACAAGCACATTAAGATAAATATATGTAAGACTGGGTATTCAATTATTTAATACTGTGGATGGTCTCCTGTTACTTTAATAGCTGGGATTAAGGGAAATCTTTTCTGTATACAAATAAGCAGTTTTCGTCTTCATTCGGTTCGATGTGCCTCTAAGGGCCAGGGATGGACCTTGCCCTCCACTCGGCCATCACTGATCGTCAAATATTTATTAACTATCTACCATGTGCTTGTCTGGGCTACTTTCAGAACACAGTTTCCCTGGCACTCCTTGGTTCCTCACTGGACCTAGAGTGCTTTACAGACAAGATCGAGGCCCCTGGCTCCTCCGCAGGTTAGGGAAGGCCTGAATACCAACCGTGCAGGCCTCAGGGCGGGCATTCAGTGTCCACAGGAAGTTGGGTCTTACGAGCCTGTCACCACTGTGTGGTACACGACCCAAGGCAGACAGCTTTACGGCGTTATGGTGACTATTCCTGCAATGGAGGCTTGCCTGATCGGGAGCAGTGGCGGGTCCTAGGCGGCGCCTTCAGCCTGTGCAGAAAGCTCAGCGGGTCCCTGGGTGCCCACGGCCATGTCCCACAAGAGGGCTATGGAAACGCAACCCCGGGAAGCCCACGCGTCCATTGGAAACAGCTGTATGGTACCACCATCCCACTGGCTGGGCTCCTGTCTAAAGCCGTCTTATGTGTAGCTTTTATCTCCCTCCACGTCTGCCCTCGGTCACCCTGTCCATGTCAGTGGATTTCCGTACCTCCGAGGGACCCGAGGAGCTTGCAGAGGCTGACGATGCGTTGCTTGTCACGCAGGAGGTCCGAGGCAGGACCTGAGAGACAGCTCAGCACCCTGCCGCCCGTGGGTCTGTCACAGTTGCAGCCCGATGACTGCAAGTCCCCGTGTGCCACCAGGGTCCACACAGGCGTGGGCATGTGTGAGATTTCACACTTCAGAGATCGCACTTCTGCGGCCGTCCAGACTGCTCTAGCGTGTCACACTTCCTAGAAAGTGTGAGCAGTCCTATACCAAGACCTTTATCATAAATTCTTTCTTTCTTTTCCAGAAAAACATCTTTTTCTACTTTGTTAATCACCTACCTAGTTATAGAAGCAACTGCTAGGTCTTTTCAAAAAAGTACTTTTTTTTCCCTGATTACAAAAGTACTGTATGTTCTTTTTTGAAAAGGCAGAAAAGCATAGAGAAAACAATTTTAACTGCCTATAACCTCACACTCAGACACCACTATTAAACTTTTGTAGAGCTGAATCCCAGTCTTTTCTCTGCACGTATGTAATTCTTAAACAAAATCGGGGTCATACCGCTTCCTGTCATTTACACACTCTGAATCGTGTTTGATTTACAGAGGGTGGTTTATTGTAGGCCTGCCCTTGTGCTAGCATAGAGCTCTCAGAAATATTGTTTCTTAATGGCTACAGAATGTTCCAGCAAGTGAATTAAGCGTAATCTATTTAACCAACTACTATTTGAACACTTAGTTGTTGCCAGCGTTTTGCTTCATGAGATAGTTTGTCGAGCATCTTTAAATGAATTTTTCTTGGACCAAAGTCCAAGGGGTGAAATTCTAAGATGGAAAGGAACAAATTTTTTCTTAAGTTTCTTTTTCTTTCTTTCTTTCTTTCTTTCTTTTTTTTTATATATATATTTGCCAGACTGTGTGTGCACTTGTCAGAGAAACAGACTCAGAGAAGGAAAAACACCCCTATGGGGTGAGATCATGCCACAATCCCTTCTCCATTTTTCCATCCTCTCGGGATTTCGGTCACACACCCACATGCACCCGGGGCGTTTTCCAAGCCTCCAGGGCTGGGGTTGAGGCCAGGCAGTTGGCCGTGTGGACTCTGGCTTCCTTAGCCACCAGACCTCAGTGCCGGCCGGAAGGAAACTACTTCCAACAGTTCTTGTCCCCCGGAGATCAGTGACTCTTCCTTCTGTCAGAAATGTCCGAATATCTCTGTTGGGTGGCACTGAGCCGTTTTTTTTTTAAAGGAACTATTTAATTTTATTTACTATAATTATTTTTAAAATTTGATCATAAAGAGACAGAGAGGGAAAGTAAGAAAGCCACCACATCTGGACCTTGAACTGTGGTCGGCCATGTGGGAGTCCAGAGCCTTAACCACCAGGCCACCTGCCAGCCCCCAGGCATTGAGCCATTTTATAAATATTTGGAAAAATGTTCCCAATTTGATAGGAATACACTGTTGGCTCAGCCTTGTTTTAAGAGTGTGTGATTGTTGGCGACTTTGGTTTGGTACAGCTAGGGTGACTAATTGCTACAATGGAGGCTAGTCCAATCGAGAGCAGTGGCAGGTCCCAGGAAGTACCTCGGTCTGTGCAGAAAGCTCAGAGGGTCCCTGGGTGCCCACGAGGGAGGTGAAACTACCCGGCAGTTTCCTGTGGGGAAGATAGGGCCCAGCTCAGCGGTCACAGCTCTCGGAGACCGAACTGGGCAGGCTTCAGATCTCGTGACTTACTGGAGACACCCACTTCCTCCAGTGACAGTCGTCATAGTCATTGGAAAAGTAATGATTTTTTTCTGTTTTCCTACACAAAAATGCATTGTGGCTTTTCCGACAACCCTATAGAGGAAATGCTCACAATATTTTTGCCAAGACTAGTACAATTTGGTTTTGAAAAAACTCCATTTCAGGGGCTGGCAGGTGGTATGTTGGTTAAAAACGCTGGGTTCCCACATGGCCGACCACAGTTTGAGTCCCAGACCTGGCAACTTGCTTTCTTGCTTTCTCTCTCTCTCTCTCTCTACCTATCTATCTCTCTATCTCTCTCGTGAGCCTCTGAAGCCTCTGTGTGCTCTGACTACCTGAGCTAACCCTCAGCTCTGTGACCGCTCACACTGAAATGGTGGTGGTGATTTAAGTCACTAAGCTTTGAGATCGTTTGTCACCCAACAGTGGACAGCTAGAGCAGCATTCCAGGCAGAAGGGCCAGCCCGAGGACCCTCCCCTTGAGCATTCGTCGGTTTATGTTTTCAACTGTCCTTTCCATGCGGTCACTCCCGCAGCTGGAATTATGATCCTCCCCTCCCAGACTGACACTCTGGTCACGTCAGTTTTTTGCTGAAAAGCTTCTGCTAGCCAAACCCACACTACTCCCTCCCCATAACTTTCTTATCCAAGTTATGAGTAAAGTAAAACAACAGAATGAGGAGAACTTGAGAATTCCAGTCCGAGTAGGGGTAAAAGGGTGCTTAGCTGAAGCACAGGGAAGGCAGATCTGGTAGACAGCCTGCATATCGACCTCCCTGGCATCTTGTCAGTGAGTGTCCTCCAGTCCCAGGGATTCGTCACCTGCCTGGACCATGTCTGCCCTAGGACCCAGGTGCTCCCTCCTCCACTGCAGGGCCAGTTCAGGGTGGGACTGAGAAGGGGTTTTGGGAGAACACGGAACCAGCCCTGAGTGTTGACTGAAAGCTCGGGGTGGCGAGTGGTCAGTGGTGAGTGCCCGTGGGGATAGCGTACCGCCAGAGAGAGGTCAGTGCCAGGAAGGTGGGGGAGAGTGGGAGGGAGTCAGGAAGATCCCATGAAGCAACAAGGCTGGGTAGGATGTTAGGAGGCCAGGCTGGGCTCTCCCCAGGGAATCTTCACTCGCTCATTCCCGTCCCTGTAAGATGGAAGCCGCAAACACCTGCTTCTTGGATGAAAGGGTGGAGTGTCGGCATCACAGAGCAGGGGCGGGTCAGACGGGGGAGGGGGTGGCAGCCAGGGGCAGGTGTGGTCTGGCCAGCAGGCTGGCTGAGCCTCCGAGGTCAGGGCAGTCATTGACGCACAGTTCGGCTGTCTCCAACAATCAGGAGAAGTTCAAGAACTCTGCCCTCTTTGGTTGAGCGGGTCCTAGGGCGTCCCCATGAGGAAGCCTAAGCTGACCAGGTCCGAGTATGGGAGTCAGGTGTGATGAGCTGGAGAAGGGTCTGTCCCCCAGACGTTCACGTTTTGGAATTCTGTCCTACTGTGTGATAACTGTACCATGACAACTGAGTCGTGGGGACACTGGCCTCGAGAGTGTGTTAGTGCTGCCTCGTGAGAGACTGGGCGAGTTCCAGCTCTCCTGAGAAGAGATCCCACAGAGAATAGGTTGTTACGGTCTCTCTCTCCACACAGCTGTCATCCTTGCCACTTCTGTCCCGTGTCATGATGTCAGCTCCTCCGTATGGTGGCACCATCCATCTGCCTCCAGACTTCCCAGTCACCAGAACCGTAAGTCAGATAAACCTCTATTTCTTTATAAGCCACTCCATTTTGGGTATGTCCATTAGCAATGCAGTAACTAAGACCCAGGAAGAACTTGCAGAAGACAGACTGTCTATACAGACTCTGACGGGTTGTCCTGAAAGGAACCAGCCTCAGACGCTCGAGGCCGGCAAGGGCAGCCTAGACGGTGTTGAAGGCTGCCCCTCCAAGGGCCTTTGGATGACTGTTGCTTCCTTCCCAGGGGCTCTTGTGCCCACATTGTCGGCTGGGCTCAGCTGTGGGAGCCAAGGCCACAGTGAAACGAATGCCCACGGTGTTGATGTGGAAGTGCCAGCCTGCGCCAGGGACTCCGCCTGGGGCGGGGTGGGGTAGCATGGCTATTTTAATCGTTCAATATTCATCGACAGCTACAAGTGAATCCCTATTGTGTGACATCCTACACGTGGCTGGGGAGATCATGGGGAAGAGTCGTGCCCGGCCTCCAAGAATTCAGTGTTTTAGGAGAGACAGACAAATGGAAGATGATGTCCATGTAGTATGGGCAGGCAAAGAGGCACAGGCAGGACCTCTAATTCTGTCCTGGGCGTCAAGGAGAACTTCCTGGACATAATCTTGATGATCCATTAGACACGAGCTACCATCTGTGTTCCCCGAACCCAGGCCAGAAATCTTGACACAGAAATATTGGTGCAGAAAAGTCTGTACGGTCCTTTGACTCTTGGGACACACCACGGAGCAATTCACCCCAGCCATGTAGACCAGGTCCCATGGGGGCTCTGCCGTGGCAGGCCTCAGGCTGCGTGGCCCCCTCTGGTTGTCTGTCTCTCCCCGGCAGGCACGGCGAGCTGGCACTGCCAGCAGCCAGACACCTGCTCGCCGAGACGCCTGAGCCCACAAGCCTGTGAGTCAGCAGTGTGACCCTTCCATTCCCGGGACCAAGAGGCAGGCCCAGGGAACATGCAGATGAGCCCAGCTTCTTTCCAACCCCGTCCTCCATTCTGCTCCACAGCAGAGCGGACAGACCAGATGCTCAGGGCTCGGGATGGAAGTACCAGCCTGTTCCCAGCCCTCCAGAGGCAGCGGGTGCCAGGTGCTGAGTACCTCGGAGAGGGCAGAGGCCAGGATATTCACTGGGCTGCATTTTACTGGGAAGTGTCCCATTGCCATCCTTCAGAGGAGCCCCTCCTGGGGTTTCACTTCTCTCGTCTACTTCCTGCTTTCGTCCTAGGAAGAGCTTGGTCTTCAGGGCCTACTGGAATCTCTCTTCCTGCCTGTATGTGGGGAGCAGACCCAGGCTATGCTGCCTCTGAGCACAGGCATGGCGGGTCCGTCCAGCCCTGGACATGCAGTTGAGTGAGTCGGATTGGGGCCTTCTCATGCCCTTGGCACATGTACCTGCACGTGCTGCCCTGAGATGTAGATGGGAGAAGAGGGGAGTGAGAAACCTTGCATCAGTCCTGGTCCTGGTGTCAAATACGAGCATCCTCCCACTGGCATCTGCATTCGAATGTAGCCACTGGTACACTAGGTAGAAAATGGCATTTCCACTCTCATTCTGTGGCTTCTCCTAATACGGGGTCCCAGGGGTCAGGGATGATTGACAGGGCAGCATTTTGGCCTTCCCGGGATCCCGGCTAGAATATTTATAATTGCACTGGAACTTTAATGCCAGCCTTGAACGGTCCCCTGAAAGGGAAGGCAGAGCCTTCTCTCACGGATGTACTGGACCAAAGCCCAGAGCCCATGGGATCTTCCCAGGCACGTTGGCTCTGCTTCAGGAAACAGCAGTGAGCAGACAAACCAGGAGCTCAGGGCTCGAGGTGGAAGCACCAGCCTGTCCCCAGCTCTCCAGAGGCAGCAGGTGCCAGGGGCCAAGTGCCCAGCCTCACCTTGATGGGATGCACCGCGGCACGAGTCTGGTGAAGGGCTCAGCAGGGACGTCTGGGCCAGCTGGTCCCTGGAAGAGGGAAGTGTGTGGAGAAGGGATGGAGAGGAGGGACTTTTTTCCCTTGTTTTTTCTTGGACTTGTCTCTAAGGGGGACTCTCACCCCTGGATGCATCTTGGCCCAAAAGAACATGATAGGCAGAATAAAAGCCCCCAAAGGTGTCCGCATCTTGTCTCCTGGAGCCTATGATAGGTTCCGTCACGTGCTGAGAGCAGCTTTGCAGAGGAGGTTCAGGCTATGGGTCTTATTACCTAGGGGGCTCTTTGTAAACACAAGAGCCCCTAAAAACAGAAGAACCTTCCCAGTCAGGAGTAGGAAGGGGCATCACACCCCCAACCTTTCACCAGAGACCAGTCTACTCGGCAGAGGGGAAGCAAGGCAAAATCTAACCCCCCAGCTTGGCCAAGTTTCCAGATGGCAGGAGACAGTTTAGGAGGAAAACTGAGGCCCGTGCCAGCCCCACGTCTACCTAGCCAATGGCAAACTCGGCAGGGGAAGGTCGGACCACACTCTAGCCTTGCAGCATCTGTCCTAAAGAGGGTCCAAGCAGTAACCAAGCCGACAGGGAAGCGTGGCCAGGAGATCGTGCTCACTCTGATTTTGATGAGTGGTAAATCCTGATAGCACTGCCCTCAATTATAGGTAAGGAAGCAGGCCAAAGGAGTCAGCATGGAACCTCTGCAAAAGCACCTACAGAAGAGTGCAGTCAACAAAAGATGGGGGAAGAATCTTCTCAAGTGTGCTCTGAGAAACAGAAGTGACGGGAGCTTGGAGCTTGGCCCTTTCATGGTCTGCTGGTGGTGACATAAATTGGCTCAGGCTTTTGGCAGGGCACGGGACGGTGGGGATGAATGCTCTAAATGAGTGTACCTTTGACCCAGAAGTCCCACTTTTTGTCATTTCCTCCAAGACAGTGATTGCCAAAGCACCCCAAGATCTAGTGGCAGGGACTCCAGTCTCAGCTTTGTGCATGATAGTGGAAAATGGATCTCCGTCGCCAGAGTTAAGCCATTGGTTAAAGCAGTGACAGCACTGCCGCGTACCTAACACATAAATGGTGCTGTCGGTCTTTATTTGATGACATAAAAATCTGCCTATGAGAGGGACCCGCAGTTAGCGTAATGGCTATGTCGCTGGACTCCCACGTAGTCGACCGTGGTTCGCGTCCCGGACCCCGTGGCTTAAACTCACACAGGCGCGTGTGCGTGCGTGCCCAAGATCCCGAGAGGAGAATGGAGGAGAAGGGATTGCGGCGTGGGCATCCCCCCTGGGGGTGATTTCTCGCTTTCTGTCTGTCTGTCTCTCTCTGTCTGGCAAGCGCACGCGCCCTATAGCGAAAACCTCTCCAAAAAATAAATAAATAAATAAAAATAAAAATCTGCCTATGAGTGCAACAGTGGGAATAAGAGAACCACAGGAGGGGGCCAGCAAGTGGTTGAGGAGTGGACTTCCACATGGTTGATCACAGTTTCAGTCCCAGACCTGGCAGCTTGCTCGTGCACTTGCTCGCTCTCACTCTCTATCTCTCTCTCCGGTGAGTACACATACCCTATAGCAAATTTAAAAGAAATAATAGTAATAATAAATAAAATTAAATCTTTAAAAATAAAAGAGAACGGTAGAATCCCATTCGTGCCATATTTTATTAAGTATATAAGGAGGGTTTTCTGGAAGGGTGTAACTCTTTCACTTGAGTTTATTTTGGGTATGTTTTGATATTATTTCAACATTTATAATGAGCATTAATCTTTAAAAGAATACATCTATTAAGAAACGTGGTAGAAGTCTCTGATCGAGTGGATCTGCTGGGATCCATAGCTGAGCGACTGGAAAATGCCATTACCGTGGGGAGCTGTAAAGGAGGTACAGGCATATGTGAAGCATTTTACTGTAATTTAAAACATATTAACGGACACTCATGAATACCTGATATCGTGATGGAGTATTTCCTTTTCCTGTTTAATAAAACTTAATCAGAGTACAGAATCCTTCTAGATTTCCATCATCGTAATATTTACCTGTATTTAATTTGATACTGCTTTTTATTCACTTTCATCAAGTTGATACTCATTCCCTACTCGAGTAGGTTATTCAGAAGCAAACTTTTAAAGGTCACATACTATCTACTGTTATGTGTATTAGTTAGGAAACTTGAGGTTGGAAATCAGAAAAAAACCTGCTCAGGTCAGTGTACATTTTAAAAGCGGAAGTGCTTTGTTAGAGGGTCTGGGATGTCCCTGGAAACCAAAGGCAGACGGGGGACGGGCAGCCAGGCCTCAGCCCAGATCGTGCTTGGGGCGGGAAGATGGGTGGGGAACCTGGCTGTCCTCCCCAGCCCATGCCTCTTGGCTTCAGTGCTCCTCCAGTTTCCTGCGTTCATGAATCGCCATTAGTGGGCAACGTGGACACTGATCACTCCTGAGTTTGCAAGTCCAGAAAGAAACAGTTCTCTCTATCTCTAGAGAACTACAGTCGTAGTTCCGGATGTCTGGGGGATGCCCGGATTGGCCAGGTTCTGACCAGGTGCAGATCCACCTGCCTCAACAGTAGGAAGGGGGCAGGGTCACTCAGCAGGATGCTGACTGCTCCAGTTGAAGTAGACAGTGGCCATGTAAGGGGCCCAGGAGAGGGGGCCCCCAGGATAGCTGGGGTCTGGTCAGGCAATCTATGTGAATATCCACTCTGTCGCTGGTTTCTTTTAAGCTTATTTATTAAATATCTCCTCAGAGAGAGAGACAGGCAGACATAGGCACTTCCAACAGGGCCTCTATGCTGCGGTCCAGCCCCAGCCAACCTGGATCACAGGAATGTGATGTGCTCACGCCTGGGGTGTGCAGGGAGGCCTCAGAGTGACCCTGGCACCCTCCCGTGTGGGTCTAGTATTGCAGAGTGCTATGTTACCGATGTGCTACCGGCCCGCCTCACCGTGGTAATCAGCACATGCAAGTAGACAGCGGGGTGGGCGAGGGGTGATGTGTTGCCACCCCACGCCCAGAGCTGCGGGTCCCAGCCAAGGTGTCAGCTTGCACTTACAGACCAGTGCTCATGGAACTGATGGGGACGGCTCTCCTAGGCTGGCAAAGGCTGCAGCTGGACACCTCCAGACCCACGCAGGTGCTTTCTTGGGGCAGGGCTCCCCTCCGAAGAAAGCTCCCACTTGTCCATAATGTGAGCAGCCTCTCGTGCAGCAGAATTAATGACTGGCAAACCTTAACAAAGGAAGGAAATAATCTCCCATCATGAGTAACCAGTCTGCTGCAGGGGGTGATTGTGTGGGAAGTAAGGCTTGGTTTTTCTAAGGAGCTGGATGGTTTTATGACCGAGCATTGCGTTCGTGGCTGTGCGTGTGCAGATTTCGTTTTCCGGGGTATGAGCTGACTGCCTAGAGGGGTCAGGAAGGCATACTTTCTAGGATTACATGAACCGGTTGGTCCATTATCAGAGACTTTTATCTTTTTCTGAAGAATTAATTGGTGGTCACTGGTTTGATGAAATGGTCAGGAATGAAAGAAAGCAAGCCCTGTGTGCTTACGTGCTTCTAGGGCTTGTTCCCGAAGTCTCACTGACTTACCAAGAGCCTTGGAGGGTGCCGTGGTTCGGGGTCCTAGGTGCAGGCTGGGGGTAGGCAGGGCTGGTAACTGCTAGTTCCATTCCAGTTTGCACAGATCGAGAAATACGGTCATTTCCTGCCTCATACGGGAAGGCTCCTTCCCAGGCCTCCCCATTAGAGCTCCCATCAGGCTGCAGCGCCAACGGGGAACCAGGCATCCATGCCTTATATGCAGAAGACGTCAAATGTGGCTTTCAGATCCCCCCCTTACTCTGCTGTAGAGGGAGGCTGGCGTGGCCTACAAGAAAGCACTACTGTTGGGTGGGCAGTGTGTGTCTGCCACCCCTCTGTGACAGTGGCTCTGGGTTTAGGGCAAAGGCATGCTGGGACCTCCAACAACTCCCCCTTCTGCAAAGACCTCCCTGTGGACACGGTTGTGTGAGAGAACTGCTCATTCCCTACCCCAACAGCCACCAGGTGGTTACAGAGGAGTGGTTACTGCCTGCAGCAGGAGCAGTGAATGGGCCTTGAAGGACTAAGCTACACGCATTTATGTCATAATCGCCGTTAATAATCCCAACGATCCTAGGATCTGAGCACCATTTTCATCCCCAATGACAGAGCTGGGGTGGGAAAGACTAAGTGCTTTGCCTCGGGGATTCTGACTCCAGAGCCCATGCCCTGGCCAGCACCCTGCAGACAGGTGCTCCCTGCCCTCTGCCTGCACTCTCCACCATGGCAGGCAGCCTCACTGGGGGAGCTCCCACCCTAGCCAGTCTGGGAGAGATGAGCAGCACTGGACTTCGAGGGCCTTGGCCAGTTGGGAGGGAGGAGGAATCCCGCAGGAGGCCCAGCACCTGGCAGCTGTTCTCCGCTAGAAGTCAGAGAGGACCAGTTCTCTACCTGGGAGGTGGCCTTCCACCGAGGCAGCCTCTACACGCCAGCTAGAGCGCCTGCCTGCCAGGGTGACACAGTGGGCCGGGCGTCCACCTCTGCGGGACGGACTGAGACCGTGTCTTTTCTCCTGCGATATTCTCCTCTTCTTCCTTTTGCTA